GGAGGGGTGATGGATTTGGGTACGTCCTGACGTTTCTCTTCAACCCGGGGACCTCTTTAAGCCCCAACGATTGATTTGCTGCGATATTATCCTCCTCGTCGATATGAAAATCAGGAAGCGCAAGGAAGCTAGATACTATGAGGGGAAACAGCGTTGGGTCCTCGTGACACAATGTTTCCCGCCCTCTTGCTAAATTACTAATTAAAGGGGAAACAGCTTTTTGGTTGTCTCGCTCTCTTTAACACACATGTTTCTTTTCTTCGGGTTTCCGATTTACCCCCCAATGCAATGAAGAAAAACCTGAGTCCTAACCATACCATAAAAACAGTATGTCCCTCTGCTTTGAAACCATTCCAACCCCTTGAGTCAATTTATTATAGAAACACCCGTCCATATTCCGCCCTGACAGAAAAACCCTCAGAAAAGCCGAAAGACAAAAGTATATATGGTTAAACCTCTCCAGAAGCTTCCTATAAAACACAAGAAACATCCTGTTTTCAGCTTTTCAACACACAAGCCTTTTCACTGATAAATTAAACGAAACCAAAATAAACCTGGCCTCCCCCATCCGGGGAGCCCCAGGTCCTGAAACGAGCAGAATTTATTCTGGCATTACCAGAAAAACTATCAGATTGCTAATTAACATGAAACACAACATTGATTATTCCACACCATCCTGAAATATAATTTGTCACTGGTTTTTGTTCAAAATCATCAACAAACCATTTGAAAATTAATGGTATGCTATGTAGCCCTAATGCATAATGAAACCCCCTTGGTCTGCAATGTTAGACAAAAAGGTTGTGCGGCCTCGAATCCCCAATTTCCCCCTTCCATATAACAAGTGTCCACTATAGTTTTTCCAAAAGTGAAAAAAGTGATTTCCCCCCACTAACAGCGGTCCCCAGAATTTCAGTTAGTTAATTTGAGCAGCCCCCCAATGCTAAACCCAGGCCCGGGTATTTTTTCTACATTATGTTGCATTTGCTAAAAAGCAGCATTGTAAACTCAACATCCTTTACCACCATTGGAAAAAGGTAGAGAACTACAGAGCCATCCCCCAGCCCTGAATCGAATCATACCTTCATTAGCCAACAGCCTGCCCACCCCTTCTCATTTTCTGGCACAGGAAGGAAACACAATGTTCCCCCTGTGGCTCAAATGCACAATAAACTGCAAAGGCCCAAGAAGGACACAAAGGGTTTGTGGGGGTTAGGCTACAACCGGTCCGATAAACAAGTCCCGCCTATACATAGCAAATCAACCATTTTTGTACTGGTAGGCTAAGAAGTTAGGAAACCCAAAGAGAGAAAAACAGGAGTAAGCAAACAATAGATCTTATCTTTATTCCCATTCCTTTGCGTCATCATATCTGATATTCCCTCCCCACGTGAACGCTTTTTCAGAATACATAAATTTAAAATCCAATTACAAAGAACCCAATTCCTTGGATAACAGGTGAACAAACATCCTTCCAACCGCATTTCGCTTTGCAGTAGAATCCTCATACGTTGTGTTTCCGCTAAATGTTTTACATGCAATTGTCTCTGTTTTCCCCTGGTCCAAAAGTAAAACAGTACACTAGGAAAATTAGGTTGTTGCCATTTTTGGGAATAATATCCTAATTTATAAACTGGTCACTTCCTCTTGTCCCTAAAACAGTTGGAATCAATGGGAGTCTGAAATTTGTCTGTGACCTTTTAATCTGTTTGTATTGGTTTTGAAAAGTGGTGTTCTATTTGTGATTTGCAATCCATTTTTTTACTGTTCGCCCTTTCTCCCTTCCTTTCCATACCTCATCCCGCCTTCCAATTCAATCCCAATCACTTCTACTCCCCTTCTCCTTTCCACGCCCCCTCTTATTGCCTTCTTCCTTCGTCCGCCCTCTCTTTTTTACTGGTCGTCCGCACCTTCTGCCACAACAAACAAGCTTGTGATTTTGATTTCCACAAACTGGAAGCATACCCGTCAAACAGAGACCCTCCGCGCAACACAATTGCCAATGTTTGCCAATGTTTTGGTTTTGTTTTGACTAGCGTGAAGCAAGCCAAATTCCTTTTGCTAAAAACCTTTTTTTTTTTTCTAACGTGCACAACCTTCCAATTGTTTTTTATTTCACCATTTTTGTTTAGTCCTGAACAATTTTTTCTCCAGCCCTTCACATCCTTAATTCTTGCGATTTCTTTCTCTTGGTGCTTTTCCGAAAATCTCCCCCCCCCCACTAATTAGGGTTTATTTTTGCCAAAATAAAATGTGCAAAAGCTCAGAATTGGGGCCTGGGGGGGGCCCCCCCCTGTGTTGAAACACAGCAAAATTTGGTAATCGCATACCAGAGTGAAGGGGGGGGGTTCCCAATTTAAAAAAAAAAATTCACCTTTAAAGTTTAAAACCTGTTTCTTATCTCCTTGGTTTTGAAACACATCATATTTGATCATTTGTTACAGTGAGATTATAGATTTTTTTTAAAAATAAAAATAAAAAAGGAATAAGATACAACCGGAAAGAATGGACCAGGATATTTCTCAATCAAATACAAAGGAACTAAAGATACAGGTGTCCCTTTCAATAGAGAATTCATGGGAGACAGACGGACGGACTACCAAAAGGTTATCATAGAATAGGTAATTGAGAACTATAAAGGGCTAACAAAGAATAACTTATTATCTTGAAACTAGAACTTTCAGCTAACAAAGAATAACTTATTATCTTTGAAAAGCTAGATAGCAATCTTCCTTTTTAGACATTCTTATAAAAACAAAAGCCCTGGTTCATTAATGAAGTTTGAGATCAAAACCATTTTAAGAAATTCAAGGAAACAAAAATATAATTTTGTATTAAAATATACAATTTAAATATAAGGTACTTTGTGAAACACCCACAGGGAGGGAGACGTGACTTTTCGAAACATTGACACTAATGCCTCGATCACACCGATAGCGTCATTGCATTTTGGTACACCAGAAGTACATTCATTTCTAATGGAACACTGCATTTGCCTTTATCTAACGTATGCATCAAACTGTATTCGTAGATGGCTTGACAGAAATTTTAGCAGAATGTGGTTAATGTTGAACTGTTGTTGCACACATATCCAGATGATGCTGCGTACCATTTTGCGCAATGATGCTGTTGGTGTGTTCGAGGCGTTAAGGTGAAAGGTAAAAAACAAGTGGCTAAATGTAATGTATCTTGTTCCCTTTCACAATATGGGACAGAGGTACCTGTGGGATGATATATATTTTTAAGAAAACGGGGAGTTAAAAGATTTAAAATTAGTCTGGTTCATTCATCTGTTCACATGGGTGACGCCGCGTCAGAACTCAACTCCATGTCCAGAGTGAGGGAATCTGGGAAGACAGAAAGCAAGAGGGCTGCCATTAAAACAAGTTAAACCTTGCCTCACATGCAAGGACAGTACGGGTATGTGCATGTGTGTGTTTGTCTGCGTGTGTGTTAGTGTGTGTGTTTGTCTGCGTGTGTGTTAGTGTGTGTGTGTGTGTGTTTGTCTGCGTGTGTGTTAGTGTGTGTGTTTGTCTGCGTGTGTGTTAGTGTGTGTATTAGGACTCACCCAGTTGGCCAGGGTTGGTCTCAGCCTCGTTGTGCATCAGAGAATCCAGGGTGCGAGGGGACATGGGAAACAGGTCACTGGTGTTACCAGAGTTGGTGCTGCAACAAGACAATACAGGATAAGAGAGAGACACCAAGACTAGATGTTAACACATACAGTCACAGTGATTAGATCTCTATGTCCGTTTTACCACAAGCGATAAGCTAACTGTCAGTCTACTGCCAGTGCATAAGTCATTGTCATCATCATCATCACTGCTGTTATGTCACCATAGATTGGGACAATACTCCACATTATTACATGTACACACAGTATTCCAGGTTTAAATCCATGATTAAAGAAGTTGTGTTGACTGGGTCAGATTAGTGAAAGGTGAGCCAATGACTCCAAGGTTAGGACAGTTCAGCCACTATGTGTTAATGTGCTTCCCAGTGGCCAACAAATGATTGAAGTTAGACTACAGTAGCAGAAAGAAAGGGGGATAGGAGAGCAGTGGATGTGTGAAAGAGAGAGAAATGGCTTCTCCTCTTGGGGGCAGCACTGAGCACATTGTCACATAAGGAGGCTGGGACGGTTAGTGGGAATGTTAATGGCAAGTATTCTACACAATCTAGTTGGTTAGAGCAGGCCAGTGGGCAGAAACACACCAAAACCCTCTACACCCCTGACAGACATTTCATTCTAAAAGTGCATGATGTCTCACAGCAACCTACTACTATAAAGTCATATGTGGAGAACAGTGTAGGCTACTGAGGGGAGGACGGCTCATAGTAATGGCTGGAACGGAGCGAATGGAATCAAGCCATGTGTTTGATGTATTTGATACCATTCCACTGATTCCGCTCCAGCCATTACCACGAGCCCATCCTCCCTAGTTAAGGTGTCACCAACCTCCTGTGGTGGAGAAGTAAAGTAAGGACCAATGTTAGGGCGTTAGGAGTTAATCTCCACTGAATGAGACTTCTCCCAATGAGACATTCAGTCTACAGCCTATCAATGCTGTTCTAGCCAGTTCCAATGACTGTGAGATGGGGACCGTTTTGATACAGTTATCAAGCTGTAAACTAAACATGGCCAGTGTGGACTGATTTTAATGGAGTGGTCATGACACCAATACGTAGACATACAGGGAGTTTTGAAAGGTGAATGATCTACGGAGGATGTGATTGGGAAAGGGAAGCCATCTTGAGTAGGATGAAACCAACTCAAAATGGCTGCATACAATATGACTGGAAGATGCTCTGGTGTTAGAACCAAGGAGAGTGGCAGTGAGTTGGAAACAAAATGGTGAGGGGTGGGGGGAGGGGGGGGTCTAGATGAGGATGGCGAGGGACTTATTACTCCATCCCTTGTCTGAGTCCCACCCTCACACACATAGACGTAGAGAAACACACACACACAGCCCTACATGCCACCCCCCCACTGCCTACCCAGGGAATATCCCGTTCCCAAGCAGCTCGCTGTCCGGAAAGTCCATGAACACGGAAGGGCACCTACGGAGACAGGTCAGGATCTCACTAGCAATCCTCTCCAACACAACAGACACCTCCACCTATGTAGAACACACACCCGTCTAGTCCTACAGAGACAGGTCAGGTTCTCACTGAGCAAACCTCTCCAACGCTGCTACACCCCCCCGAAACACTACCTCCACCCCTGGGTTAGCCAGTATACACACCCCTCTGATCCCTCAGCTAATCTCATACACACCCTCTCCGTCCCGGAATAGAGCACTGCATGGCCTACAGAACACGTCTGTTCCCCTATAAGTGCAAGGTAAGTTCTCTCTTTGGTTCTACTCATGGTATTACTGTGTTGAGCGATTCGTATTAAAGTTATCTGTATGCTTTTGTCTAGGGATCCTTACTTGCTTTCTACTCTCTGCTTTGCCTAGAGAGATGTGTACACTTTCCTCCCACCTGCCTACAGTCCTGTGCTTCCTGTTCTACTGTCCCCAGGGCAGACCAATGACTGTACAAATAAGGGAAAGACCCTGACTGATAGTGAATCAGTCTGTCACAGTTTGTTGGTGATGACTTTAGAGGAACGATCTGGGAACCACTCTTCTACCAGGGTTAAAACCCCAGCCCCACCCTTACAAGAACCTAACAAGGGGATGTTCTGGAAGACACTCAAATATTTCATAAATAAAAACGTTTCAATTTCAATTTTGCAACATAGGCAGAAAAGAGTGTCAAGACTTTCTAGGAAGGTACATGACTGTCCCAGTTCCCATTACACAACCTAGTGTGAGGTCACTGAGGAGCATTAACTAACCCCTATGAGGGAATTGAACACTAAAAACAGCTCTCAAGGAAAGTGGATACTTACGGGGTTACACAGATGAACTTTGTCTTTAAGTATGGTTGAATGGCTGTGGGAGAAAATCAAAACACGTTTTAGCTTACACACAGATCAAAATATTCCCCATGTCACAAAGCATCAACCTCCAAAACAGTAAAGAAATATTCATTATGAGGTATTTCCAGATCTTCTTTCATTAACAAACTCATCCCACAGTTTTCATGACATTATGTTCAACTTCCTGATTGACTTACTACTACATGGGTCGCCGAGTTCAGCCTCTGGAGCAGCTTCCGGTCGGCAGTACTTCCCAAAGGCGTCCTCCTTGGGGATCTCTGGGAAGAGGTAGACCAGCGGAGACACCAGGATATTTGTGGCGTCCATGATCTTGTATCCCATAATGATCTCTGCAAAGGACATGCTGTTGAGCTGCTGCTTGGTGTAAGGCTCCACCGACTGGATCTGAGTCTTCCCTACAGACACAGAGAGAATGAGAGAGATATGAAACCATGTCACAAAAGCAATAATGAGATGAAACTAAATAATGTGCAACATAGACAAAGACTAAATGACACGCACAATAGAAAAGAAAGAGACAAAGACAGACAGACAGACTGTCCTCTTACCACTGATGTCCTTCTCCACCCAGGTGAAGGTGATGCCTCCCTCCTTACTGCTCTCACTGAAGCGCAGCAGGAAGGTGCCAGGAGGCTTAGGGCTCAGGATGGCCCTCTCCCTCTCCTTACTGATGAAACCCAGAATATACCTGCACAGAGAGAGAGCAGAGAGAAAAATATGACGTTTTTATTTTCACTTACACCGGATAGCACAGAGAAAGACTAAACGGGAGACAATTTAACTCCATTACTCTTGACACTTTACACTTGTGCATTAACCCTAAAACCTGTACTTGTCCTCAATCCAGTTTCCCACTATCTAGGGTTCAACGGCTCAGTATTACAGTTCTCTGCAGTGCTCATATGAACTCAATGTCATGAACTCAACTCCCTCCAACTTGGATTTCTACCCAGCTGTTCCAGTAACAAGTCGGTAAACAAACAGAAGCGACCTCTCACCCTTCATTCCACAAAGCCAGGATGTACTTCTTAACCAGGTCAATGATGTTGTCTAGCCAAACCCAGAAAGAGAAGCCTTTACCCGCCATGTTCTCCTGAGGACAAAGGAGGAACTAATCAATTCAAACTGAAGCTGTTTACGACAGATAGATAACCATCCCACAATATCAATAGAGAACAAGAGAGACTGATTGGGCAAGGACATACTTTGCAGAACTTGGCCCAGGTGATCTGGCATCCAGAGTAGTTCACACACGGCCCTGGACAAACACAAACACATTTATTAGGCATTGATGCCATACAGACAGTACCAGTCAGGTATAGGTGGACCCATCCATAGAAATATAATGACTAAAGTGGACATTCAATGTTCTCATTCAGACTTGCAGACAGAAAGGTTCCTCACCAAGTAGTTTCTCAGCCAGGGTGGTGAGCTGCTCGATGGTCAGGCCTCTCTTAGTGGTGGAGGAGAACTGCCAGCTCAGCACCTCCGCTACCTGATCCCACGTCCCCACCGGAGGCTTGGTGAAGAAGTTCACGTTCTATAGGACATGACAACAGGAGGAGGAGGTCAAAGTAGATTCATTTCTCACACATTTTAACCCTCTCCAAGACAGATGGCAATGCAAAGAATGTATGACACAGTAAAGATGATATCAATAAGACTGACTGTATTTGGGGGACAGAAGTTACAGGACAGTGGTCTAACACGAGGTGGCACTAGCTGTCTTACCTTGGGGTGGTTGGTCAGCATGTTGTACCACAGGATAGAGGCCCAGGCGTTGGGCATCTGGCAGATGTTGGAGATGACCACCACTGGTAGAGAATGGGTCTAAAGGACCATAGAGAAACACGTGAAGAATGGTTAACCTGGACATTGGATCAATGAAGATATACGTATGGAGCATTCACACTTTTTGCCAGGCTTTCAAAACTCATCTAGGTTGTTTGGTCATTCTATTCAAGTCTGACATGAAATGCCATTTAATAAATTATCTAAATTCTACGATGAATGGACATTTTTATTTTTTTGATGGCTGTGACAAAGTAGTTGTCCATAAGGGAGGAAAAGCTGTCCTTGTTCTGAGTGAGATGGCAGAGACATGGAGTGTTTAGTCCCTCACTGAGAATTAAGTCTTAATCACACAGCAGCACTCCTCCTCGCCTTGCTAAATGGTGTCGTTTATAGAAGACGGGAGTGTTGTGATAAATTATTTCACAACGTGGGTATGCCAAACCCTCTAACACACGCACGCTAATTTCCCTCCATTTCTCAATGCTAATGTGTTAATTATCCTGGCTAATGCATTTTCACACTGCTGTGTTCAGGGGGGCCAGCGCCGCAGTGTTGAGCTCAACACAAAGCCCTGCAGGGCATAACCACTAGATGAATGGTTCCTGTGTCCCAGCAGGGGGCTTGGGCTAGCTACGGTGCTATCAGGGGGAGGAACACTGGTGGTGTTTAGGGAGGTATAGAGTGGGTCAGAGACGGATCACCCCTGGACACGCTCCACCGGCCGGGGTTTGAGGGGAGGGATGATGGGTGCGAGGAGAAGCAACAGTAGGAAGCATGGAGATCAAGTGTGATTACTGAATCAGCTCATTGGCATTCTGTGCATGGGAGAGCAGAGCCAGGCCCCTGGAAGCCTTGGGCACCATCTCAAGATAATGATAATGACTCGTCTATTGGCTCGCTGCGTGTGGCAGAGCTGACGCTTGGCCTTAAATATCTAATCTCCATGTAATTCCTGCTGATGTAGGATTAAGGTGGATTACATGCTGAGTGTTTGGTGTGGCCGTAATGAGACCTGACAAAGACCACCTGGGAGATAGGAAGCACAACAGCAACTCCCTAAGCCGACTGTGTGTGTACACAGGTAGAGAGCTAAGCTTGGTCTCACCTCCAGGTCGATCTTCAGACCCTGGTGGTAGACCTCTGTCTCAAAGGTGATGAGATGGAGCTCCTCTGTGACGATCAGGGAGGCCTGGGGAGGAACAGGACAGTCAGCGTTATAGGTCGATTGATGCTACTATCAATACTGATGACAATAGAACTATAAATTCCCAAAATGTTAAGTTTAATTTAACAGTATAGCTACACCAGTCACCATAAGAAAAGGAGCATTCAAGATTGAGTGTGGGACTCACATCACTGTTGGTCCTGCCACCATTGCCACACCTCTGTTCCCTCAGGGTCTGAAAGAGAAGGGCAATTATCAGTCAAGCAACATACTGTACAGTACCACACTAGGCTCACCACTATACTGACTAGCAGACAGTCACTCACCAGGTGTTTGAACTCTGCTGACAGACTGCCATTGTTGGACTCCTCCATGTTCATCACCTTCGTGTTGGTACCAAGGATGTTGAACTTTCGGGACCTAGGATGAGCAGGGTAGAGTAGGTTATTCACAGGCTCCATGGCAAAAGGGACATTTTAAGACCGAAAGCTTTGGAGTCATCAAAGGGTTTCAATGTTACATAAGTCACTTACCCTCGAATAGCAGCCACGTCTCCAGATTCCCTGAGAAAAAAAACAATAGAGGTAAATTCACAAAACAACTTCCCTGGGACAGAGTCGATCGTTGTGTTCTATGCAAATCAGACATGATCATGGGAGTGATGGACGATGGGCACGCAAAACTCACTTGTCAATAATAACTTTGATCTTCAGCTGGTAATTCAATTCTGGAAACTTCACCAGTAATCTGAAAAGTGAGAAAATATTTGGAAAATAACATTTGGTGAGAGCACATAATGCAAAACGCCAAAGGCATCAAATAATGCAGTTTGTATTCAACATATTCATCAACTGGTGGCATTGAGTTGTCCCACAGCTCCTCTTACCTGACTTTGTTGGTGAACTGCACACCTGTCTTGATGACCAGTGGTCGGTCTGGATGCATGGGCATACAAGGCTGCCTCTCCACCACGAACGCACTGCAATACCACGACCAGACAAGAGGCGGCGCATTAGAGCACAGTGGTGGAAGTCCGAGATAGACAAAGCTCCGAAGCCTCATCTAATGCCCATCATAATAAAAGATGTCCAAATATATATTTGTCTATGCCATGTATCCAAAACATCTGAATATTATACAAATTCTATCCTATAATAAATATCCAAACCATCTGGACATGTGATAGGTGTTGAAGCTAAAGAGAAGCTCCCCACCTCTTCATGAGGTTCCTGAACAAGTCCACTATCTTCTCCTCCAGAGCGGGCCGGTGCTGGATGATTGGGTCTCCCTTATAGGACACCTTCTGCTGGAGCTCCTCCAGCTTCTTGATCTGCTGGCGGATCTGCAGCTGAGACTCAGCCAGGGACGTAATCCTAGAGGTACCAAAGGTTAGTCTAGGTCAGTCATTATGGCAGTGCTACTTTGTTTATGTTAAACTAAATTTGGAACTACAATTTATCTTATGGTGTCTTGTATTGACTACAAATTCTCCTTCTTCGCCTCTCTGATGTTTACTCTACATGAGTGTTGGGGGAGATAGATAGTGTACGGTGATGGAGAGGACACATAAAAAAGGGGTTTAACATGTGGAAAGTAAAGGTTACTAATGGTAACTGACCATGTCTCCAGGCGGTCCAGGCAGATGTTGGGTGGTCCTCCGATGCAGGCAATCTGCTGCCTCCTCTTCCAGTCAGCCAGCTCGTCATCTGTCAGGTTCTTCTGGACAAAGTCCATGGCTGACAGCAGCCCCGCCATCTCTGTCACAATTTGCTACAACAGAGAGGGACAACAGCACATTCTTCAGACACTGATACAACCACAACCAGTGTTAAAGTGATATTCAGGGGGTTCTGGAAATACTTTAAAGATATATTTTATGAATCCACACGAGATGGAAATTTGTCTTCTGCTTTTTATCCAACCCCCTGATATATACACACACACATTAGGTTGGAGAGGCTGGAGCAGAGGGCAGCCACAGTGCAGCGCACAAGGGAAGGTAAGCGGTAGGAGGCACCTGAGATATTGATGCCAGCAACCCTCCGGTTGCCAGCTCAATCCCCACCAGCACTGGGATTCGAACCAGCAACCCTCTGGTTGCTGGCCCGGTTCTCTAACATCGAGGCTACCGCTGGATGATTATATCTTGCACATGATTCTTAGGATGATTAGTGAATTACTGAATTTGTTTTACAATTTTGGCCTTAGGGAAATTATAATTGACAGCTATTACCGCCCTTCTTATCTTGTTCATAAATATTTAGTGCCTGACAGCAGCATGAATATTAATTTAACTCAATTGAAAATGAATCATCGAGCACACATCAATATCAACACACATACAGATCCCTGCATGTGTAGTGAAAGGTACTGCTGCTGAGTCCGAATGTTTAAGTCGGGACTGCAATAGATAGGGAAGCAGGCTGCCTGGGGCAGACAGGTTGAGCTTGCTGCTGATAATTATAGAATGAATAACCCAATTCTATAGCTTACAAAAAAAATGATTATTTAACAAACATGTTAGTGTGCAGGTTTATGTTATTTCTTGCACACACATATGTAGTTCGAGCGGAATGTCAACTAACCTAGCCTACCTATTGCAGAAATTCTGACTATCCTGATTCAGGGTAAAAAGGACCCTCTAAAAGAAGGGTGTACGATGTAGGGTCCAATGGACACTAAGGAGGGGTGTATAAGGGCCCTACCCTCCTGAGCTGGTCCAGAGCACTCAGCATCTGTTCCAGCTGAGACATCTTCTGCCTGGTTGCTGCCGCCTGGCTGTTCCCATTCATGTCCTGGGACAACTCTGAGCAAATAGGAGAGGAGTTGGGTGGGTTATCTGTAGATTTAAGAGTCAGTGATATTTGATAGAATTTGATGGTGGGTCAGAGTTTCAAAGCAAGAACCAGCCAAATAAATAGTAGTAGTAGATTATAATAGTAGAGCCTCTTAAAGACATAAAAGATATCCTATCCACAAATTCAGATAAAATTCTAGCAAAACATTTATAGAATTTAATGTAATATTAAATGTGAAACTTACCACCCTGACTTTTAAGGGTCTTGTAGTTGAAGTCAAAATCATCCTGGAGATTCTCAAGCATCTTCATCTTTTGTTCCATATCCTATAGCAAAGTAACACGTAAAGCATATAAATCAAATGAGGTATTAAATAATATGTCTGTGTAAAAACACATATTGAAGAACAAGATCCTGTTCTTTGGACTAAACATGCAGTCTCACCTGCACCCTCTTCCTGATGTCCTGCAGGTTGTGCTCCAGGATCTGTTGTTTCTCCGTCACCACAGTGCCAGACGGGTGAGATGCCGTTCCGTCCTGTGCGGCAGTGGTGGCGGTCTGCAGCAGCCTCTGCTCTTCCCAGAGGCAGCGGGCTACAATGCGGGCGATCTCCATGGGTTTCTCCAGGTACTTGGACTGCAGGTGCTGCTTTATGCGCCGCAGGTTGTGCTGGTAGAGCACGTTGTTCTCCTGCAGGAAGCGGCTGTACTGCTGGTCAATCTCCCCCAGCAGGTTGTGGAACACCAGCGTGGCGTGGGACTCCTTGTTCGCTGCGTACGCCCTGCATAGAGCATATAGAGCAGGGGTGTCAAACTCATTGCGCCCTTGCAGCTGGAGGAAAATCTATTCCCAAGTGGGCCGGACCGGAAAAATCATGGTATATATATATATATAACATAAAAACAACAACTTCAGATTGTTTTCTTTGTTTTAATACGATCAACATACAACATAAAGCTGGAGCCTGAGGACAGTGTGTCCAAAATAGTACAAGCACAGCATCACTATTAATCATAAAACACGTCAAGTATATTTGAAAATTCTAAAGAAAAAGAACACAAACACACAATGCCTCAGTGATTAACAGAACTGTTTCACAGATCACAGAACTATATCAGGGTGTCATTTCTCAGGCAGAAATGTAGATAAAAAATAATGAAATCCTGTTCCCCAAACAAGTGCAAGAACCACAGAGTCAAGAATAGGTTAAATATACAAATAAAATAAAAACAATTAAAAACAATAGCACATCAACATAAAAACATATAAACATAAAGCTGGAGCCTGAGGACAGTGTCCAAAAGCACAACATCACTATTAATCATAAAACACCAAGTTATTTGAAAGTTCTGAGGACAAAGAACACACAAACACACAATGCCTCAGTGATTCACAGAAGTATATCACAGATCTATATCAGGGTGTCATTTCTCAGGCAGAAATGTAGATAAAAAGAATGAAATCCTGTTCCCCAAAAAAGTGCAAGAACCACAGAGTCAAGAATAGGTTAAATATACAAATAAAATAAAAACAATTAAAAACAATAGCACATCAACATAAAAACATATAAACATAAAGCTGGAGCCTGAGGACAGTGTCCAAAAGCACAACATCACTATTAATCATAAAACACCTCAAGTTATTTGAAAGTTCTGAGGACAAAGAACACAAACACACAATGCCTCAGTGATTCACAGAAGTATATCACAGATCACAGAACTTTATCAGGGTGTCATTTCTCAGGCAGAAATGTAGATAAAAATAATGAAATCCTGTTCCCCAAACAAGTGCAAGAACCACAGAGTCAAGAATAGGTTAAATATACAAATAAAATAAAATCAATTAAAAACAATAGCACATCAACATAAAAACATAAATCTGAAAGCGTTGCTCAAACTCCCGTAACAGTCCCGTTATTTTATCTTTGAACCGCTTCATGTCTGCCACACCTTGGGTCGCGCACACATTTTTCAGACAGGGGAAGTGAGCTGCATCACCACCGGCAAGTTGCGTCTCCCACAATGACAGCTTCAACTTGAAAGAACGTATGCTGTCATAATACTGCGTGACAACTTTGTTGCGCCCTTGCAGCTGTTTGTTCAAGTTATTCAGGTGCTCTGTAACATCCACCATAAATGCAAGGTCCTGCATCCATTCTGCGGAATGAAATTCTAACACTGGTTTGCCCTTTTCTTCCATGAACTGTTCAATTTCTTCTCGTAAATCAAAGAAACGCCTCAGCACAGCACCTCGGCTTAACCATCTTACCTCAGTGTGGTATGGCAGGCCATAGATGTGGTCTTTCTCTCTGAGAAGGCTGTCAAACTGATGGTGATTCAGGCTTCTGGATCGGATGAAATTAACAGTTTGGATGACCACCTTCATGACGTTATCCATCTTTAATGACTTGCAACACAAAGCCTCCTGGTGCAAAATACAGTGAAAAGTCAAAAAATCACGTCCTCCATTTGCAGATTGCACTTTCTCTCTGAACTTTGTCACAACGCCTGCTTTTTTCCCGATCATTGAGGGCGCACCATCTGTAGCCAGGCTGACAGCGCGGGACCAGTCCACTCCGACCCTGTCCAACGCGCCGACGAGTGCGGTAAAAATATCAGCTGCTGTCGTTGTATCTGTCATCGGCACCAACTCCACGAACTCCTCGGTGACGGTCAATGTGTCATCAACTCCGCGGATGAAAATGGCCAGTTGTGCAACATCTGTAATGTCCGTGCTTTCATCAATTGCAACCGAAAACGCAATAAATGACTTTACTTTTTGCTTCAACTGGCTGTCCAAATCCACTGAAAGATCGGAAATCCTGTCTGCAACTGTGTTTCTTGTCAGGCTGATATTTGCAAAAGCCTGCCGCTTTTCAGGGCACACAATCTCCGCTGCCTTCATCATGCATGTTTTTACAAATTCACCCTCACTAAATGGTTTTGAAGCCACTGCGATTTCATTAGCAATGAGGTAGCTAGCTTTCACTGCAGCGTCACTGATGTCTCGGCTGTGAGTAAACACAGACTGCTGTTTCTTCAGACCCGCCAACAGTTCATTCACCTTCTCTCATCTCCGCTGTCCTTGAAAGTTGTCATATTTATCGGCATGAAGACTCACATAGTGGCGACGAAGGTTATATTCTTTCAGCACTGCAACATGCTCTGAACACACCAAACATACAGCTTTCCCATTCAATTCCGTGAATAAATAGGATGACCATTTTTCTTGGAACACTGCGTCCACTTCTCTTTTTTGACAGAGACATATTGGGGCAATGAGGGTGCCAAAGCACATAATGTTAAAAGTAGAAGCTGTAATAAATATCGCGGGCAAAACAAAGTAGCTCATTGGCTGCACGTGCTTGACCTACTTGCTCTGCCCCGGTATAAACAGTTTGCTTGCTTAACACAATTGCTATTGCGCCATCCAGTGGACGCAATTGGAACAGCAGTTTATTTTATTGAAAAATTGCAGCGCATTTTTATACTTTACAAAAATATATATATAGATATATTTTTATTTTTAAAATTTTATTTTTAGAAATCATCTCGCGGGCCGGATTAAACCCGTTTGCGGGCCTGATCCGGCCCGCGGGCCGGACGTTTGACACCCCTGATATAGAGAGTGGTTTAGTGAAAGCTTATGTTTTTTATTATCTTTATTTACTTAACCAGGTATGGTATTGAGAACAACATAGACTAACAACCTAGCCTCTAATAATGTTCATATCTCTAGTTATTAGTCAAAGAAATCCACAGAGATATATATATATATATATATATATATATATATATATATATATATATAAACTCAGCAAAAAAAGAAACATCCTCACAGTCAACTGCATTTATTTTCAGCAAACTTAACATGTGTAAATATTTGTATGAACATAACAAGATTCAACAACAGACAAACTGAACAAGTTCCACAGACATGTGACTTGGGGGGGGGGGTGAAAATCAAAAGTAACAGTCAGTATCTGGTGTGGCCACCAGCTGCATTAAGTACTGCAGTGCATCTCCTCCTCATGGACTTCACCAGATTTGCCAGTTCTTGCTGTGAGATGTTACCCCACTCTACCACCAAGGCACTTGCAAGTTCCCGGACTTTTCTGGGGGGAATGGCCCTAGCCCTCACCCTCCTATCCAACAGGTCCCAGACGTGCTCAATGGGATTGAGATCCGGGCTCTTCGCTGGCCATGGCAGAACCCTGACATTCCTGTCTTGCAGGAAATCACGCACAGAACGAGCAGTATTGCTAGTGGCATTGTCATGCTAGAGGGTAATGTCAGGATGAGCCTGCAGGAAGGGTACCGCATGAGGGAGGAGGATGTTTTCCCTGTAACGCACAGCGTTGAGATGGCCTGCAATGACAACAAGCTCAGTCTGATGATGCTGTGACACACCGCCCCAGACCATGACGGACCCCCCACCTCCAAATCAATCCCACTCCAGAGTACAGGCCTCGGTGTAACGCTCATTCCTTCGACTATAAACACGAATCCGACCATCACCCCTGGTGAGACAAAACCGCAACTCGTCAGTGAAGAGCACTTTTTGCCAGTCCTGTCTGGTCCAGCGACGGTGGGTTTGTGCCCATAGGCGACGTTGTTGCCGGTGATGTCTGGTGTGGACCTGCCTTACAACAGGCCTACAAGCCCTCAGTCCAGCCTCTCTCAGACTATTGCGGACAATCTGAGAACTGATGGAGCGATTGTGCGTTCCTGATGTAACTTGGGCAGTTGTTGTTGCCATCCTGTACCTGTCCCGCAGGTGTGATGTTCGGATGTACCGATCCTGTGCAGGTGTTGTTACACGTGGTCTGCCACTGCGATGACAATCAGCTGTCCGTCCTGTCTCCCTGTAGCGCTGTCTTAGGCGTCTCACAGTACGGACATTGCAATTTATTGCCCTGGCCACATCTGCAGTCCTCATGCCTCCTTGCAGCATGCCTAAGGCACATTCACGCAGATGAGCAGGGACCCTGGGCATCTTTCTTTTGGTGTTTTTCAGAGTCAGTAGAAAGGCCTCTTTAGTGTCCTACGTTTTCATAACTGTGACCTTAATTGCCTACCGTCTGTAAGCTGTTAGTGTCTTAACGACCGTTCCACAGGTGCATGTTCATTAATCGTTTATGGTTCATTGAACAAGCATGGGAAACAGTGTTTAAACCCTTTACAACAACGATCTGTGAAGTTATTTTGATTTTTACGAGTTCTCTTTGAAAGACAGGGTCCTGAAAAAGTGACGTTTCTTTTTTTGCTGAGTTTATATAGTACCAGTCAAAAGTTCGGACACACATTCTCATTCAAGGGTTTTTCTATTTTCTACATTGTAGAATAATAATGAAGACATCAAAACTATGAAATAACACATATGGAATCATGTAGTAACCAAAAAAGTGTTAAACAAATCAAAATATATTTGAGCGTTTTCAAATAGTCACGCTTTGCCTTGATGACAGATTTGCACACTCTTGGCATTCTCTCAACCAGATTCATGAAGTAGTGACCTGGAATGCATTTCAAATAACAGGTGTGCCTTGTTAAAAGTTAATTTGTGGAATTTATTTTGAGACAATCAGTTATGTTGTGACAAGGTAGAGGGGTATACAGAAGATAGTTCTATTTGGTAAAAGACCAAGTCCATATTATGGCAAGAACAGCTCAAATAAGCAAAGAGAAACAACAGTCCATCATTACTTTAAGACATGAAGGTCAGTCGATACAGAAAATGTCAAGAACTTTGAACGTTTCTTCAAGTGCAGTCGCAAAAACCATTAAGCGCTATGATCAAACTGGCTCTCATGAGGACCGCCACAGGAATGGAAGACCCAGAGTTACCTCTGCTGCAGAGGATAAGTTCATCAGAGTTACCAGCCTCAGAAATTGCAGCCCAAATAAATGCTTCACAGAGTTCAAGTAACAGACACATCTCAACATCAACTGTTCAGAAGAGACTGCGTGTATCAGGCCTTCATGGTCAAATTGCTGAAATGAAACCACTACCAAAGGACACCAACAATAAAAAGAGACCTGCTTGGGCCAAGAAACAGGAGCAATGGACATTAGACCTGTGGAAATGTGTCCTTTGGTCTGGAGTCCAAATTGGAGATTTTTGGTTCAAACCGCCGTGTCTTTGTGAGATGCTGTGTGGGTGAACGGATGATCTCCGCATGTGTATTTCCCACCGTAAAGCATGGAGGAGGTGGTGTTATGGTGTGGGGGTGCTTTGCTGGTGACACTGTCTGTGATTTATTTAGAATTCAAGGCACACTTAACCAGATGTTTAACACTTTTTTGGTTACTACATGATTCCATATGTGTTATTTCAGTTTTGATGTATTCACTATTATTCTACAATGTAAAAAAATAAGAAAAAAGAAAGAAAAACCCTTGAATGAGTATGTGTCCAAAATTTTGACTGGTAGTATACAGTTGAAGTCGGAAGTTTACATACACTTAGGTTGGAGTCATTAAAACTTGTTTTTCAACCACTCCACACATTTCTTGTTAACAAACTATAGTTTTGGCAAGTCGGTTAGGACATCTACTTTGTGCATGACACAAGTAATTTTTCCAACAATTGTTTACAGACAGATTATTTCACTTATAATTCACTGTTTCACAATTCCAGTGGGTCAGAAGTTTACATACACTAAGTTGACTGTGCCTTTAAACAGTTTGGAAAATTCCAGAAAATGATGTAATGGCTTTAGAAGCTTCTGATAGGCTAATTGACATAATTTGAGTCAATTGGAGGTGTACCTGTGGATGTATTTCAAGGCCTACATTCAAACTCAGTGCCTCTTTGCTTGACATCATGGGAAAATCAAAAGAAATCAGCCAAGACCTCAGAAACAAAATTGCAGACCTCCACAAGTCTGGTTCATCCTTGGGAGCAATTTCCAAACGCCTGAAGGTACCACGTTCATCTGTACAAACAATAGTACGCAAGTATAAACACCATGGGACCACGCAGCAGTCATACCGCTCAGGAAGGAGACGCGTTCTGTCTCTTAGAGATGAACGTACTTTGGTGCGAAAAGTGCAAATCAATCCCAGAACAACAGCAAAAGGACCTTGTGAAGATGCTGGAGGAAACAGGTACAAAAGTATCCATATCCACAGTAAAACGAGTCCTATATCGACATAACCTGAAAGGCCACTCAGCAAGGAAGAAGCCACTGCTCCAAAACCACCATAAAAAAGCCAGACTACGGTTTGCAACTGCACATGGGGACAAAGATCGTACTTTTTGGAGAAATGTCCTCTGGTCTGATGAAACAAAAATATAACTGTTTGGCCATAATGACCATCGTTATGTTTGGAGGAAAAAGGGGAATGCTTGCAAGCCGAAGAACATCACCCCAACCGTGAAGCACGGGGGTGGCAGCATCATGCTGTGGGGGTGCTTAGCTGCAGGAGGGACTGGTGCACTTCACAAAAAAGTTGGCATCATGAAGGAAAATTATGTGGATATATTGAAGCAACATCTCAAGACATCAGTCAGGAAGTTAAAGCTTGGTCGCAAATGGGTCTTCCAAATGGACAATGACCTCATGCATACTTCCAAAGTTGTGACAAAATGGCTTAAGGACAACAAAGTCAAGGTATTGGAGTGTCCATCACAAAGCCCTGACCTCAATCCTATAGAGAATTTGTGGGCAGAACTGAAAAAGCGTGTGCGAGCAAGGAGGCCTACAAACCTGACTCCGTTACACCAGCTCTGTCAGGAGGAATGGGCCGAAATTCACCCAACGTATTGTGGGAAGCTTGTGGAAGCCTACCCGAAACTTTTGACCCAAGTTAAACAATTTAAAGGCAATGCTACCAAATACTAATTGAGTGTATGTCACCTTCTGACCCACTGGGAATGTGATGAAAGAAATAAAAGCTGAAATAAATAATTCTCTCTACTATTATTCTGACATTTCACATTCTTAAAATAAAGTGGTGATCCTAACCGACCTAAGACAGGGAATCTTTACTAGGATTAAATGTCAGGAATTGTGAAAAACTGAGTTTAAATGTATTTGGCTAAGGTGTATGTAAACTTCCGACTTCAACTGTGTGTGTGTGATATATATATATACACACACACACACACACACACACACACACACACAGTGGGGTGAACAAGTATTTGATACACTGCCGATTTTGCAGGTTTTCCTACTTACAAAGCATGTAGAGGTCTGTAATTTTTATCATAGGTACACTTCAACTGTGAGAGACGGAATCTAAAACAAAAATCCAGAAAATCACATTGTATGATTTTTAAGTAATTAATTTGCATTTTATTGCATGACATAAGTATTTGATACATCAGAAAAGCAGAACTTAATATTTGGTACAGAAACCTTTGTTTGCAATTACAGAGATCATACGTTTCCTGTAGGTCTTGACCAGGTTTGCACACACTGCAGCAGGGATTTTGGCCCACTCCTCCATACAGACCTTCTCCATTTTCTATTGGGTTCAGGTCTGGAGACTGGCTAGGCCACTCCAGGACCTTGAGATGCTTCTTACAGAGCCACTCCTTAGTTGCCCTGGCTGTGTGTTTCGTGTCGTTGTCATGCTGGAAGACCCAGCCACGACCCATCTTCAATGCTCTTACTGAGGGAAGGAGGTTGTTGGCCAAGATCTCGCGATACATGGCCCCATCCATCCTCCCCTCAATACGGCGCAGTCGTCCTGTCCCCTTTTCAGAAAAGCATCCCCAAAGAATGATGTTTCCACCTCCATGCTTCACGGTTGGGATGGTGTTCTTGGGGTTGTACTCATCCTTCTTCTTCCTCCAAACATGGCGAGTGGAGTTTAGACCAAAAAGCTCTATTTTTGTCTCATCAGACCACATGACCTTCTCCCATTCCTCCTCTGGATCAACCAGATGGTCATTGGCAAACTTCAGATGGGCCTGGACATGCGCTGGCTTGAGCAGGGGGACCTTGCGTGCGCTGCAGGATTTTAATCCATGACGGCGTAGTGTGTTACTAATGGTTTTCTTTGAGACTGTGGTCCCAGCTCTCTTCAGGTCATTGACCAGGTCCTGCCGTGTAGTTCTGGGCTGATCCCTCACCTTCCTCATGATCATTGATGCCCCACGAGGTGAGATCTTGCATGGAGCCCCAGACCGAGGGTGATTGACCGTCATCTTGAACTTCTTCCATTTTCTAATAATTGCGGCAACAGTTGTTGCCTTCTCACCAAGCTGCTTGCCTATTGTCCTGTAGCCCATCCCAGCCTTGTGCAGGTCTACAATTTTATCCCTGATGTCCTTACACAGCTCTCTGGTCTTGGCCATTGTGGAGAGGTTGGAGTCTGTTTGATTGAGTGTGTGGACAGGTGTCTATTATACAGGTAACGAGTTCAAACAGGTGCAGTTAATACAGGTAATGAGTGGGGAGAACAGGAGGGCTTCTTAAAGAAAAACAACAGGTCTGTGAGAGCCGGAATTCTTACTGGTTGGTAGGTGATCAAATACTTATGTCATGCAATAAAATGCCAAATTAATTACTTAAAAATCATACAATGTGATTTTCTAGATTTTTGTTTTAGATTCCGTCTCTCACAGTTGAAAGTGTACCTATGATAAATGCTTTGTTAAGTAGGAAAACCTGCAAAATTGGCAGTGTATCACAATACTTGTTCTCCCACTGTATATATTTTAATAGGTTTCCATGGATGATTGACAGTATAATTGAAAACATATTTCCATTAAGTCAAAATTCTCTGATGTGTGGACCTACAACCATCTTTGTGGTACCATTTGAAAGTTTCCCATTTGAGCACATTTATCAGCCAGAACATGACACCCACCCTGTATTCAAGAGCATGTTGTGTCTCAACCGATAGCGGGCACAACACAAATACCTCAGATTATGTAAATAGATTATAAACTTCAACATATGCGAATATGAAAAAACCCTGGAGTTTACACGTTTTTAGATATTTGACATTAAAGGTAAAGAAATTATTTTTTTACTACAAAAAAACTTTTCCCCCCAGAAATTATAAAATAGTTTGACAACCCTGTTTATAAGCTTTTAAATATATTAATCTCAACCGCTTATCTTTTCCAGTGATTAAGACATGGATGTCTCATGGTGGGGTATGCAAGATAGGTCAACTTTGAGAACCTTTACCTCTTGAAAGTTTTGGCATTAAGGTCCAAAAAGTCATTTTCTGAGCACTTCCACAATGGGCAAATGTGTATGGAAGGTTTTGTTCGAATCAAAAGGGGTGCTGTCAAAAAGGTTTTAAATTCATATGGATTTACCCTTTTTCCTGGCAGAACTGACAACATGTCATCATGAGATGCCAATTAGGTCAATAATTTCCTGTGTGTTGTTCCCTGCTAACAGTCTAGCTGTAATGCTGATGTTGCTATTTCAAAATAAATCATAACGATTGTAGAGGAAAATCAATGCCACACTGATGACTAAAGTCAAAATAAATAAAACACTATTAACAAATACGATGAGTAAGTACAACAATGAGCCATGTAATCCTGCCGAGTCTTGCCAGCAGCAGTGGTGTTAGTGAACTGTACGTACTAGGTACCCATTCTGTAGTGATGTTGTGAACCATAGGAACTAGGAAAGTACCCACCAGTCCTGGCTCTCGATCCAGGGGGCGAGGAACTGCCGGAGCTCCATGGGGAAGCTGTCGCTGTACAGGTGGTACAGCTGCTCCAGATACCTGGTCTCCAGCTGCTGCAACTGGTTCCACTGGGCCATGATTCCTCCACAACCCTGGATAGGACACACAAGGAAACAGTTAGAGGGAGAAATGGAAAGCAAGGAAGACGCAAGGAAGCTAGATACTAATGAGGGGAACAGCTGTGGTCTCTTGACACAATGTTCGGCTCTTGAGATACTAATGAGGGGAACAGCTGTGGTCTCTTGACACAATGTTCGGCTCTTGAGAGTTACCCAATGCAGGAGAAAACCTTGAGGCTACCATACAGTATGTCTCTGCTTTGAAACATTCCAACACCTTGATCAATTTATTATAGACACACGTCATAGTCGCCCTGACAAGAAAACCCCAGAAGCCGAAGACAAAGTATATGATGGTACCTCAGGCAGCTTCCTATAAAACACAGAGACATCCTGTTCAGCTCAACACACAGCCTTCACCGAGAAATAAAGACCAAAATAAACCCTGGCCTCCCCATCGGGGAGCCCAGGTCTGAAACTAGCAGATTTATTCTGCATTACCAGAAAACTATCCAGATTGCTAATTAAACAGGAACCACAACATTGATATTCATCACCAGCTGAATATAATGTCACTGTTGTCATCATCAACAAACCATTGAATGATGTAGGCTATGTAGCCTAATGCAGATGACACTGTCTGCATGTTAGCACAAAAGGTTGCTGCTCGTCATTCCTTCCATAATAACAGTGTCACTATATTTTCAAAGTGAAAGTGATTTCCCACTAACAGCGGTCATGATTTCAGTTAGTTATTTGAGCAGCCATGCTAACCCAGGCCTGGTATTTTTCCTACATTATAGTGCACTTGCTAAAAGCATTGACAAAATCCTAATTACCACCAGTGAAAGGTAGAGAACTACAGAGCATCCCCCAGCCCTGAGCGATCATACCGTCATTAGCCAACACCTGCCACCCTTCTCATTTTACTGGACACAGGAAGGAACACAATGTTCCCCTAGTGGCTCAAATGCACAATAACTTGCAAGGCCAAGAAGGACACAAAGGGTTGTGGTTAGGCTACAACTGTCCTGATAACAAGTCCCTATACAGTAGCAAGACCATTTTGTACTGTAGGCTAGATTTAAGGAAATCCAGAAGAGAGAAACAGGAGGAGCAAACAGTAGATCTTTATCTTTATTCCATTCTTTGCGTCATCATATCTGATATGCTCCACTGACAGATTCAGATAACAGAATTTATCCAATCACAAAGACCCAATTCCTTGGATAACAGGTGAACAAACATGCTCCAACCGCATTTTGCTTTGCAGAGAATCCTAGACGTTGTGTCCTAAATGGTAAGATTTTCCTGTGCCCTGGTCAAAAGTAGTACACTAGGAATAGGTTGCCATTTGGGATAAATCCTAATTTATAAATGTCACTTCCTCTTGTCCTAAACAGGTGAATCAATGAGCTGAAATTGCCTGTGACCTTTACTGTTTGTATTGGTGTTGAAATTGGTAGATTTGATTGCAATCCTGGTTTACTTTCCCTGTCCACTTCCTGTCAGACTAGACTAAGGCCAATAAATACAATATTATAATCCCAGTCGATTCCACCAATATGATGAAGAGTCAGTCAAATAGAGGTTATGAGCCACAGGATCACACAAAAAAGCTTGTGATGATGCACACTGGAGAGTACCCGTCACATGAGACTCCGCGCCAAAAACAAATTGCAAATGTTTGCCAATGTTTGTTATGTTGCTAGCGTGAACAAGCATATTCCTTTTGCTAAAACTTTTCTAACGTGCATTACATTGTTTAAAGTTAGGCCTACATTGGCTACACAGGAAGCCTTATTCAGATCTCCCCCCCCCCCACTAATTAGGTATTTTGCCAATAAAATGGGCAAAAGCTCAGAATTGGGCTGCCTGTGTGAACACAGCAATTGTATCGCAGACCAGAGGGGTATACTATGATGCAAAATTGATCTAAAGCTAGCCAGCTTCAGTTAATTTCACATTCCAGCTCAGGCTTCATCCGTACTACGATGGTGGATATTGCTTGTCCGCCCGCGCTAATTCTAGCAGCCTTGTAACTGCGTGTGCATGTCACACGTGGCTAGTCGAAAGCCAAACTCTTCATCGAGACAATGCTGAAACATCAATCCATGGGCGAGTAAGTGCCACATTTTAATTTATGCTGAAATCAAAATCTACTTCCCCAGAGTCAGATTAACTTGTGGATACACTTTTTATGTCTCTGTGTGCAGTAAGAAGGAAGTTAAAGGTAGTTTCGTGAGCCAATGCTTGCTAGCAGATACCCATAGACTTCCAGTCATTGCGCTAACACTAGTTAGCAATTGCGCTAACACTAGTTAGCAACTTCCTTCAAACTGCACGCAGAGACATAATAATGGTATCCACAAGTTCATCTGACTCTGGGGAAGATGATAAAGGGCCTCATTGCCAAAATCCCGAAGTATCCCTTTAAGTGCGTGAAGTTTTAAATGCATTTTGTCATTACTAAATGTGATAGGCATTTTAACATTAGTATTTCTTAACACACAGAACTGCTTTAACTCAGCAACATTTGTAGGTTTTCAAGCATTTACTGCTCATTTCAAGTCCTGCCACAACATCTCAATTGAGATGAGGTCTGGACTTTGACTAGGCCATTCCAAAACTTCAAATTTGTTGCTTCTTAACCATTTTCATGTAGAATTGATTGTATGTTTCGGATCATAGTCTTGCTGCATGAGCCAGCTGCGCTTCAGCTTCAGCTCAAAGATGGTTACACTTTTCACTCATCTGTTCTGCATGGAAGAGTGGGCTCACATCAACACCATTATCCCAGAAACCCTAGACCCACTCCAATTTGTATACCGCCCCAACAGATCCACAGATGATGCAATCTCTATTGCACTCCACACTGCCCTTTACCACCTGGACAAGAGGAACACCTACGTGAGAATGTTATTCATTGACTACAGCTCAGCATTCAACACCATAGTGCCATCAAAGCTCATCACTAAGCTAAGGATCCTGGGACTAAACACCTCCCTCTGCAACTGGATCCTGGACTTCCTGACGGGCCGCCCCCAGGTGGTAAGGGTAGGTAACAACACATCTGCCACACTGATCCTCAACACGGGGGGCCCCTCAGGGGTGCGTGCTCAGTCCCCTCCTGTACTCCCTGTTCACCCATGACTGCATGGCCAGGCACGACTCCAACACCATCATTAAGTTTGCCGACGACACAACAGTGGTAGGCCTGATCACCAACAACGATGAGACAGCCTATAGGGAGGAGGTCAGAGACCTGGCCGTGTGGTGCCAGGATAACAACCTCTCCCTCAACGTGACCAAGACAAAGGAGATGATTGTGGACTACAGGAAAAAAAAGGAATGAGCACGCCCCCATTCTCATCGACGGGGCTGTAGTGGAACAGGTTGAGAGCTTCAAGTTCCTTGGTGTCCACATCACCAACCTACTATCATGGTCCAAACACACCAAGACAGTTGTGAAGAGGGCACGACAAAGCCTATTCCCCCTCAGGAGACTGAAAAGATTTGGCATGGGTCCTCAGATCCTCAAAACAATTCTACAGCTGCACCATCGAGAGCATCCTGACTGGTTGCATCACTGCCTGGTATAGCAACTGCTCAGCCTCCGACCGCAAGGCACTAGAGGGTAGTGCGTACAGCCCAGTACATCACTGGGGCCAAGCTTCCTGCCATCCAGGACCTCTATACCAGGCAGTGTCAGAGGAAGGCCCTCAAAATTGTCAAAGACTCCAGCCACCCTAGTCATAGACTGTTCTCTCTGCTACCGCATGGAAAGCGGTACCGGAGTGCCAAGTCCAGGTCCAAAAGACTTCAACAGCTTCTACCCCCAAGCCATAAGACTCCTGAACAGCTAATCATGGCTACCCGGACTATTTGCACTGCCCCCCCACCCCAACCCCATATTTTTACGCTGCTGCTACTCTGTTCATTATTTATGCATAGTCACTTTAACTCTACCCATATGTACATATTACTTCAATGACCTCAACTAGCCGGTGCCCCCGCACATTGACTCTGCACCGGTACCCCCCTGTATATATAGCCTCCCTACTGTTATTTTATTTTCTCAACACTTTTTTGTTGTTTTATTTTACTTTTTTATTAATAATAAATGCACTGTTGGTTAAGGGCTGTAAGTAAGCATTTCACTGTAATGTCTGCACCTGTTGTATTCGGCACATGTGGCCAATACAATTTGATTTGATTTTATTTGAAAATTCCTCCACAGCAACGTGAGTGACTCATCAACAACTACAGGAAGTGTTTGGTTGGAGTCATTGCAGCTAAAGGTGGCACAACCAGTTACTGATTGTAAGGGGGCAATTACTTTTTCACACAGGAGCATTGGGTGTTGCACAACTTTGTATATTAAATAAATTAAATAAGTATGTAATTGCGCAGGTCGGTCACGTCTGCATATACATTTGAAGTCGGAAGTTTACATACACTTAGGTTGGAGTCATTAAAACTTGTTTTTCAACCACTCCACACATTTCTTGTTAACAAACTATAGTTTTGGCAAGTCAGTTAGGACATCTACTTTGTGCATGACAAGTAATTTTCCAACAATTGTTTACAGACAGATTATTTCACTGTATCACAATTCCAGTAGGTCAGAAGTTTACATAAACTAAGTTGACAGCCCTTTAAACAGCTTGGAAAATTCCAGAAAATGATGTCATGGCTTTAGAAGCTTCTGATAGGCTAATTGACATCATTTGAGTCAATTGGAGGTGTACCTGTGGATGTATTTCAAGGCCTACCTTCAAACTCAGTGCCTCTTTGCTTGACATCATGGGAAAATCAAAATAAATGAGCCAAGACCTCAGAAAAAAAATTGTAGACTCCACAAGTCTGGTTCATCCTTGGGAGCAATTTCCAAACGCCTGAAGGTATCACGTTCATCTCTACAAACAATAGTATGCAAGTATAAACACCATGGAACCATGCAGCCATCATACCGCTCAGGAAGGAGACGCGTTCTGACTCCTAGAGATGAACGTACTTTGGTGCGAAAAGTG